TCTAGATAGTCTCTGTTACCTCAGCTTGGCATAATAACCTTTGTTCTTCTGTTGCCCGTTCTCTCTGTCTTAAGGACAACAAAAAATAGTAAAAGTAGCCACCATTACCATAGGTTGCGTATTCATTTTCTAACTTCCCTTCTGATAAGTAAATGAAAAATATACTATACTTTAGTAACTCTTGAAGCAGTTGGTGAAAATGGGAGTAAGATGGAAAAAACTGAGTTTGCTTTGCCCAAAGTACTTCCTAGTCAATGAGTTGTGGTCATTATGGGCAGGAGCTACAAACTATAGATTGTTCAGGATTCCCATAATGAGACATTGCACAGACATGTATTTTGCTTCAGTGTTAATCATTCATCATCTAACAAAAAGCATTATAATGTGCTTTGAGTACATAATAAATGAAAAGAACACACACACACACACACACACACACACACACACACAATTGTTCCATGTTGGAAAGTGTGCTTGTTTCAAGTATACAATATCAATTCCCTGATGTTTGATGGTGTTTATACTTTTCTGGATATCATCTGACACCCATAGCATGCTTTGGCACAAATTCTACTTTATAAATAATTAAATGGAGGGGCTACAGTCCAGAAAGGCTAATTGTGCTATCTCTCACTGTTATAGTGGTACAATTTAGTTATCAGCATCAGCTTCAACTAAATTCCTATCAAACCTTTGCTAAAACCTGTGGTTGCAAATAAATATTTCAATATAATTTTTATCAAAGGGACTCAATTATTATTAATATTCTTTGCATTTAGATTTTACTACGTCTACTTTCCGTTTCCCAGAGCAGGGATTTGGCACAGAAAACATCATATTCTGGCATTCAACCATTGATTGTCTGATTTAGATCTTAACTCTGCAGATGGTATGCAAAACAAAACAAAATGCTAATGTGATCAGATGATTGGAATTTTCTGTGGACACAGCTACTTACTGTGAAACATTATCCTGCTTGGGTAGTTAGATAAGGATAATCAGCCTTCCCTGAAGTCTGGAAAAAGCAAGCTGCTTAAAATTATTGGGAAATGACAGATGATGTGAACTAAGGAAATTATAAATATGATTAAAAAGTGATACATGTTGTAAGAAGCATGACAATTAAAAAAAGAAATGGATGGTTAGCAAACACAGATAAACTTAATTTACTAATCCTATCAAGATGTAGTGGGACTTCTTTCCATAAACTTTAACAAATTAAGAATTATAGCAGTCCCTACAAATCTGGGGTACAGGGGGTTCAAGATGGATGTACCAAAGAATAAACTGTCCCAATGAGGTTCCTGTTCTCACCTCAGAGTGAGTTTTAGATTAATATGTGTTTTTCATCTGCAATTCCTGCCAAACTTAAGGTTAAGTAAGATAATATATGTGAAATGACCGAAAGTCCTCAGGAGATACAAAAACTAAGTATTATGATTGATTGTAGAGTCAGCTAGATTTTCAGATGGTATTTGGCATTTTTATCTACTTACAGAATCCTTTCTAAGAACCAGGGATAGGCAGAAGTCTGATGGTGTTAAAAGTATCATTGCAGGATTTAAACTGTTCCAAGTAAAGCCATCTTTTGTAATTGATTGATGGTGATTTTTGGTAATGCCAATGGTGTTCAAGTAGTGCTCCGTTGATTTGGAATTGCACCCAAGGTGTCTGTTACTATTAATTCTAGCTCTACTTTCTTTTGCCACAGTCATTCTATGTCTATTTGCAGGTCTTTGTATTTTGTGATTTTTCTCCAGCTCTTTCTCTTTTCATATTGATGAAAGGTGTTATCTCTACTTTTTAAATATTTTATATTAAAATTTTAAATATAATAAAATTATAAAAAATAAAGGAAAATAAAAAATAGAATATAGAACAAAGGAAAAAGAAAAAAAGAAAAATACAGAATTTTCACGTCTATTCTTGTTTCTAACCTTTTTAAATCCTAAATCCATAGATCATCAATTCATTACTTTTTTCCTTCAGCAAAAGGAACATGTACAGTTTCCAGTCTTCCAAAAAGGGATTTTTCATTTTTTCCATGACAAACATTTTTATATGCTTCTTAGTGGAAAAGTAGTTTTAAAAATTTGTTGTTGTTCAGTTACTAAGTCATATCTGACTCTTCGTGACCCATGGACCATAGCATGCCAGCCCCCCTCCCCGTCCTCCAATGTCTTGCTGAGTAGGCCCAAAGTCATGCCTGCTGCTCTGATGATGCTATCTAACCATCACATCCTCTGCTGTCCCTTCTCCTTTTGCCTTCAATATTCCCCAACATCAGATTTTTTTCAATGAGTCATTTCTTCTCATTTGGTGGGCAAAGTATTTGAGCTTCAAATTAAGTACCTGTCCTTCCAAAAGACAGCCAGGATCAATTTCCTTTAGGATTGACTAATTTGATCTCCTTGCAGTCCAAGAGACTCTCAAGAGCCTTCTCCAGCAGTACAGTTAAAAAGCATCAATTCTTAATCAATCAGCCTTCCTTATGGTCCAACAGGCTTTTAAAATAGTCATGAATTAAAGTAAATTGCAGATTTTGTCTTTCTGTTTTTTAAGAGTTTCATGATATAAAGTCAGTTCATCATGTGAAAAAAACACAAAAATAGCAGATATGCTCAAGGATTTTGTTTAGTCTGCATTTTGAAGTAAACCAATTCAGTCTGAATCTCATATGCTTATGGTTTTGATTTTGCAATTCTTCAAATTTTGAAAATAGTGTTAAACTCAAAATGAGCATTAAAATCTGCACTTAGGATAAGATCATTTGGGACTTTTGGGGAAAAATACCTTTAAGTACTTATGTGTGTGTGCATTGTACAGATTGGAAAAAAAGGAATTAACTGATTAATATGAAATAGTATGGAAACAATTAAAAATTAAAAACAGAATTGACTAGACTTTGGATAGGAATAGATCTAAAATGGAAACAGACTGCTTCTATTGTACTCTAATCCAGACCATTTATTCTCTTTAATTGAAGTCTGAAGTGAATGGACTAGAAATATGATAAAGATAAAAGATTAATGAAATAGAGGATAGCAGAAGACAAGGCACTTTAGATTAAAATTAAGAAATTGATAACCACGAGCAAAATATCCATGTAGTAAGCAGAAAAGAGAGATCAGAGGCTCTGAGTCCTCATTAAAAGTAAGGAGAAAATAAAGCTTGAAGTTAAACTGCAGAAAGTGAATAAATCTTGTTGTTTTTTTCAGTATTCTATTCTTGCCTGTATAACTCATTCATCTACATACAATGATAAACATGGTAGGTAAGTGGGGCCATGAAACTGTCTTCTCCATGGAACTGGGAGGTTCAGATTAGTATCTGTGTAGCATTGGAAGATATAAAATGATACAGAACTGAAATGCTCAAATTTAAAAGTACATGATAAGATAAGATCTGATAAGATCTCTATAACCTGCTTTTAACCTGGCACATGGCTCTGATTTAATGGAATGGAAAGTTTAGCTCTTTGCCAAACTAAACCCTGTTGAAAATTGCTATCTTAAGAAGGCAGGTAATAGTTATGCAGCATGAACAGGGTCAAAGGTGAGAGAGAAAGAGATGGAAAATACCAATCTCTCTTTTGGAAGCTAGTTGTGTTAATGAAGATCCACTGTGATGATGTTTGAATTCAAGGAAGTTGGGAATCAGTTCCTGGCAGGAGAGATGCCAAACTTCTTAGCATTTTGTAGCTCAGGAAATGTCAGTCATTTTTTAAAAAATGAATACAGCAGTTCATGGAGATTCTTTGCATAAAATAATTTTTATTCCATTGACTTTGTTAGAATTATTCTTAAATAAAATAACTTATGTAGGATTTGATACAATTTTTCTTTAAAAATGATTGTGATTCCCAAACCATCAAACACAGTAAAAAAAATTTCAGACAAACAAAAACAGTAAAACATACCAGACTTTTATGATCAACAAGCAACTGTAGCTATATGTAAGCTTTTTTTGGCATAAGTCTGGCTATAACTATATTTCTAAATGTTTAAGCCAGTAGTATACCTAACTCAAGCCTATTCATCAAAAGAAAATAATTGATGATGACAGACTGTGCGTGCAGCATCAACATGATTTGCTAGTTAAATACTCTGTGCCTAGAATCCCCGTTTAGTGTAAAATATAGTTTTATGTATCACTTTTATATGGCCTTTTAGAAAGATCTCTCTGAAAGTACCTATATTCCAAATCTGAATTTAAACCTACAGTATTCAAAGTCTATCTTTAGTAGCTGGTAAAGGAAAAGTAGGGACACATTTCTAGAGATGTATGAAGCCTAGATTATTTTTAATGAGGAGGATATTTAAAACATTGAAATCAATATGGTAAGAATATTCTTGCAGAATAAACCTTCCTAAAGTTAATTGCAATTATCTGAAACACAAGTTGTTGAGCCTACCACTGAGCAACACAAAAACTCAGGATACATTTCCTGGTGTATAACATTCCATCTTGATTATTTGTCTTCTCTGGGAATTGGATTTTTTGTTTTTTTGTTTTTTGGGAGGAGAGATGACTGGGAAGAATGTTAGTGCTTCTAAAAGTCATTGAGCTGTTACATCTTATGGTTTATTGGTCATACTAGTTAAATAGGAAGTAAAACTGTCATAGAAAAACCCACAATTAATAACATTTTCATGTCCCTTTCCTGCAAATACATTGAATGCACATGGAGGTGTAGTCTCATATAACACTTACTCATCTTAAAACTCATTTTTACCAATGCCCCAGTCCTCGCGTCAGAAGTTATAGGAACTACATCAACTTGATTCCAACATTCTGATTCCCCAGCTTTGTGAGTTTCAAGAAACATTTCCCACATAGACATGCATTATTTATACCATATAAACCATAGAAGATAGTTAGAGGCAGGAAAGTCAAATCCACTCTCTCTTTTCTCTGTATGTCACGATCTCAGAAAGGGGGTGCATCTGACAATTCATGACAGAATTTTAATTTTAAAAAGTTTTTTTTTTTTATCTTACCTCAAAATTGGATTGGAGAACACATAGACCCACCATGTGTTAGTGGCATTGAAAAGATTCCGAAATGGACCCACATTTATAGAAGTGGCTGGAATGCCCAGTGTTACGACAGAGAAATAGGAATAAACAAAGCAGAGGTTTGGAAAGAATGTGATCTTTCATGCTTCCAGGCATAAGTCAGTCAAAATTGGGAGGAAGGAGGTGGAGGGGGGGGAGATTGTTTCAGAGGAGACATTTACTACGTGCTTCAGGGTCTTTTCCTCTTGTACAGCTAGTATAGGCAACTGTCATTGCACTGGAAATGAACATCCAATAATCATGACAGTATAGCATTCCCTGCAACCCTCCTTTAATCTGATAAAAATGGCAGAGAGAAGAAGGGGAATTCTTTATATGCATTTCTTTGGGTTTTAAGTTATAAACAACAGGAATTCAGGATCATGTGAGAAGAAAGATGATGAAAGAAACAGAATGCAGGAAGTCAGGGGAATACAAGAGGCCAGGATCGGATGGGATCCATTCCAGGACATGAAAGGAAGTGACTAAACTGATACATGAATGTTACCTAATAAAGAAACACAAATGGAGAGAGGAAGACACCAAGGACTGGTGAGATGCTATTCTAATACTTAAATGTTTATAGGTCAAAATCCAGAAATGCATAGATTTAGAACACTGGTAATAGAAAAGAGATTGCTTTGAAATATGGTGAGAAAAAAAAGCCTCTGGACTACTGGGATGAGAAAGACTGACAGAGAATAAGGCAATTATCTTTGTAGGTCTTGCGGGGACAGGCTGTTGGTCCTTGGGAGGTTTTTTAAAATTTGTAAGAGAGAGCCTGGAGCTACAGCACTCAAAGTGCTATCCAGGGAAACTGCTTTGTCTTGTCTTGGAAATTCACAATTTTTCAGCCAACTTGTCACATACCTCAAAAAATTAACATGGGCTGATTCATAGCCCTCAAGGGTCTCAGACTCAACAAAACTTCTTTGAAGCTCAGCCTGACAACATCTGGAATCAGAGTTTAAGAAATGAGGGCAACTTTTTCCTTCTTGACAGACATCACTTCCTAAGGCAATGTAAGATTTACAAAATTAGGCATGCTTAATAATGACATTAAAAGGAAAGGGGCTTCTTTTAAAAAGTTTTTCTATGTTTATTTTTAAACTTGTTTCATGATATTGTGCTAACAAGCTATAGAGAAATTGAAATGCAGGAGTTTCTATGAACACCTCAATAGTTATATACCAAGGACTATATGAACATTGACATTTACTTTCATTCATCTAGTTCTAGATTATCTACAGACTGGCAGAAGATCTCTAGGCATTGCACTCCAGTCTGCTACAGGCCTATTTTGAAAAGCCAGGAATTTGAACCCATCATATTTTGCATGCACAGCAGGGATATCTATAGTCTTTGTCCAGTAAGGAAAAAAATTATTAGTTTCTCCATAATAATTAACACACACACCCTTTACAAAGAAATTTGTAATTTTGGTAATTTATTTATTTATTTATTTATTTTCAAATATTTATATGCCGCCCAATCCCAAAGGACTCAGGGCGGCGTACAAAGTTAAAACAACAAAATAATACAGTCATACCGCGAGTCCGATCATATCCCGGCCTCCCGGGGACATCAGCCCCAGGCCTGCCGGAACTGGAGAGTTTTAACGGCTTTCTTAAAGGCCGGCAGGGTGGGAGTAGTTCGAACCTCGGGGGGAAGTTGATTCCACCAGGTCGGAGCCACCACAGAAAAGGCCCTTCCCCGAGGGCCCGCCAGCCGACATTGTCTGGCCAACGGGACCTGAAGGAGGCCCAATCTATGGGACCTCACCGGTCTCTGGGAGCTGTGCGGCAGAATGCGGTCCTGTAAGTAACCTGGCCCTATGCCATGAAGGGCTTTAAAGGTGATAACCAACACTTTGAATTACGTCCGGAGACCCACAGGAAGCCAGTGCAGCTCGCGGAGGATAGGTGACACATGGGCGTACCTTGGCGCGCCCACACTCGCTCTCGCGGCTGCGTTCTGAACCAACTGCAGCCTCCGAACGCCCTTCAAGGGTAGCCCCATGTAGAGTGCGTTACAGTAATCCAGTCTTGAGGTGACAAGGGCATGAGTGACTGTGAGTAAAGCCTCCCGGTCCAAATAAGGCCGCAACTGGTGCACTAGGCGAACCTGTGCAAAGGTCCCCCTGGCCACAGCCGATAGATGGTAGATGTTCCAGATTTAGCTGTGAGTCCAGGAGGACACCCAAGTTGCGTGCCTGCACTGAGGGAGGTAAATTTGCCCCCCCCCAGGACTAAAGATGGACCATCCAGTTGGCCTTTGGGAGGCAAGACCCAGAGCCACTCGGTCTTGTCAGGGTTGAGTCTAAGCCTGTTCACCCCCATCCAGATCCTCACATCTTCCAGGCACCGGCACATCATGTCGACTCCTTCACTGAAAGGACACGGGGTGGAGATATATAATTGGGTATCATCCGCGTACTGATGATACCTCACCCCGTGTCGCCGAATGATCTCACCCAGCGGTTTCATGTAGATGTTAAAAAGGAGGGGGGACAGGACCGAGCCCTGAGGCACCCCATGATCGAGGCGCCTAGGGGTTGATCTCTGTCCGCCCGCCAACACCGACTGCGACCTGTCAGAGAGGTAGGAGGAGAACCACCGCAATACGGTGCTGCCCACCCCCACCTCTCCGAGACAACGCAGAAGGATACCATGGTCGATGGTATCGAAAGCCGCTGAGAGGTCAAGAAGCACCAGGATAGAGGAATAACCCCTATCCCGGGCTCGCCAGGGTCATCGGTCAGTGCGACCAAAGCAGTCTCAGTGCTGTAGCCGGGCCTGAAACCAGATTGAAAAGGGTCCATATAATTGGTTTCATCCAAGGATCGCAAAAGTTGAGATGCCACCACCTTCTCTACAACCTTCCCCACAAAGGGGAGGTTGGAGACGGGACGAAAGTTCTTCAAAACAGCTGGGTCCAGGGAAGGCTTCTTGAGGAGGGGCCTCACCACCGCTTCCTTTAAAGGTTGCGGGAAAGACCCCTGCATCAAGGAGGCATTGATTATCGCCTGGAGCCAGCCTCGTGTCACCTCCCTACTGGCAGAAACCAGCCAGGAGGGGCACGGGTCCAATAAACAGGTGGCGGCATTCATTGCCCTCACGGCATTGTCCACTTCATCAGGGGTCACAGGCTCAAACTCGCTCCAGATAACATGACTAAGACCAGCCCCTGGCAACTCGGCTGGCACTGCCCAGTCGGAGTCCAGGTCTCTCTGAATCTGAGCGATTTTGTCCGAAAGAAACTGAACAAACTCCTCAGCTCTCCCCTGCAAGGGTTCCTCTGCCTCCTCCACTTTAAGAAGGGAGCGGGTCACCCTAAACAAGGCGGCCGGGCGAGATTCTGCGGACGCAATAAATGCGGAAAAGTGAACACGCTTTGCCACCCTTATCGCCACTAAATAAGTCCTAAGATAGGGTCTTAATAGTGATCGGTCAGATTCAGATTATTACCTCTTCTTGAAAGATATTAATTAAATTCTTCGTCTGTTAACACAGTGAAAATTCCCTAGCTGTAGTTATTCCTAGCATAATATGTAGCTTTGAGAAAGTTACACAAATATTGAAAGCAAAATGTTCTAAGCTCTCTGTGGGTTCATATTGTACCACTTTCCAAGTTTTGGCCTTTCATTGATAAAGACATTTATGAATGATAGTCATATAAGAAACAACATCCTCTCACCCTCCCCCCCCCAAATATTTCTGATCCATACAGTGACTTGTTAATAGAGAATCACCCATGATCAGCTGAGTTTAGAGATTAAAGAAGAACAAGACCTGGGAAGAAGAGAGAAAAATTCATCCTTGTAAATTTCTGGGACATTTTTCTCTGTCCAAAATCTGGCAAGACAGTGAATTCTCTTGATTTGCTGTGTCATATATTAGTTTTTAAAATATTTTGTTTATGATGATTTTCACGTCATTCTGTCAGATACATTTCCTTTTTTATCTCTGCAATATTAGTTTCTCCAAAAAGTGTTTCTAATAAGCTGCTCTCTCCTTTTCTTTATTGTTCTTGTCTACAGCACTAAGATTTTGAATCTCCTTTTCCGGTTTATTATCTGGATATCTTGCACAGTGTGCATCATTGAGTGTGCATACTAACTTCGCAGTCATGCTTACAGAGAACTTCAATTCCTTTGGTTGTTTTGAGGTTCAGGAGTTGTATGTAAGCTGTTCAAGGAAGTAAAAATAAATGTTAATTTATTTTCAGCCTGCCAGCAGTTATTCAGTTATGGGTGCAAACATAAATATTCTTACTGACAAAACAGTAATGAATAAGCACTAATGAATAATTACACTGTTATCATGGGCTGGCAGAAATACCTACTACAAATTCATATTTGGTTTCCAGAAATGTTCTTTAAGTAGTTACACCAGGGACAAGTATGTTTCCCCCACCCCCTCTGTGCTTCATAAAAATGAACTACTTATTAAAGCTCTCTCCTGAAGCAAAACAATGGAACAACATAATACTATCATCAACAACTGCCAGAGTACAAAGGATGCGAGTTCAGAGGGTGTGTGTGGGTTTTTGTTTGTTTTTTTGGGAAGTTCAGGAAGTTTTGTTATTGGGAACTCCTCTTAACTTGCTCTTGCTTTATGCTACGTAACCTCTGTCTGCTTCTGGATATTGTGTCCTTTTTTGGTTCCATTTAATGCCTTCTGTATTTGCTAAGGGATAGGCCCTAGTGCTAGAGAGCTGAATTTGTGAATGACCTCCTGTTTTCCGCTGAGCTTTGAAATAGGAGAGGCTCATGATAAAAACAGCCTTGAAGAATTTTCAGGTTCAAAGATTTCTTTCTATGCACTTACAAAGCTGCCAGCTTTTCTTTTCTTTTTGACCCCACTATGTGTGAAGTATGATTTGTAAAAATCATGATCAAATGCTTATTTAAAATTTCGGGGGGGGGGGGCCGAATACAGAACAGATTGGGAGAGAATAAAGCTGGGAAATTAAAAGTAAATCAATAGATCAAGTTTGGTTTATTAATTAATTATTTTCTTGTCTTGCCTAATAAACATGAGAAAATTCAGAATTGTAAATAGGATTGATTTGTTAAAGCAAAGACTTATCACTTATATTGACACAGAAGCAGAAAACTATGCCACTACTTTCTGTTCACTTCATTGCATGTTGCCAGTGACAAATTTCATTTATAATATTCTTATTATATAATCATTTTTACCTATGTGGATGATATGCAATTTCCATGGTTTAGTTTTGGCATCTATTATCAGAATATCTTGGGGTGCATTTTAGACAGTAACTATTATCCCCCCTCCTCTCTCTCTTTAGGTCTGAAGAATAGGTAATGGAAACAACACAGATCAACATGTCACAAGCCTCACTAGTCAAGGGCAGCATCAGTGCTAAAATGAAGAGAAACAAACCTCGTGTGATGTCTAAAAGTGGTCACAGCAATATCAGGATTGACAAGGTAGATGGTATTTACCTGCTTTATCTTCAGGACCTGTGGACCACAGTTATTGACATGAAATGGAGATACAAACTTACATTATTTGCTGCTACTTTCATCATGACTTGGTTTCTGTTTGGCGTCATTTACTATGCCATTGCATTTCTTCATGGAGATCTGGAAGAGAGCAGATACTCTCAAAAACATGTCCCTTGTGTCATGAATGTAGATTCGCTAACTGGGGCATTTCTCTTTTCTTTGGAATCCCAAACAACCATTGGTTATGGCTTCCGGGTTATCACTGAAGAATGTCCTCATGCCATATTTCTCTTGGTGGCTCAGTTAGTTCTCACTACCTTGATTGAGATTTTCATTACTGGAACTTTCCTGGCCAAAATTGCTAGACCTAAAAAAAGAGCTGAGACCATTAAGTTCAGTCATTGTGCTGTCATAACCAAACACACTGGAGAGTTGTGCCTTGTAATCCGTGTAGCAAATATGAGAAAGAGCCTCCTGATTCAGTGCCAGCTAACTGGAAAACTTCTTCAGACCTATGAAACCAAAGAAGGAGAAAGGATTCTACTAAACCAAGCTAGCGTCAAATTCCATGTGGATTCATCATCAGAAAGCCCTTTCTTGATTCTACCTCTGACTTTTTACCACATTTTGGATGACAGCAGCCCTTTAAGTGACTTGACACCCCAAAATCTAAAGGAAAAGGATTTTGAACTCATTATCCTTTTGAATGCCACAGTGGAATCCACGAGTGCTGTATGCCAGAGCCGAACTTCATATATTCCAGAGGAAATTTTCTGGGGTTTTGAATTTCTGCCTGTGATTTCTCTTTCACAGAATGGAAAATACGTTGCAGATTTTAGTCAATTTGAGCTGATCAGAAGAAGCATTGACTGTACATTATATAGTACGGACCCTGAAAAGCAAAAATTGGAAGAGCAATATAGAAAGGAAGACCAGAGGGAGAGAGAACGCAGAACCATGTTGTTACAACAAAGTAATGTTTGATTACTCATCTATAACAAATTATACTAAATATAACATTTCTATCTGAAAGTCGGTTACTCAAACACTATGATTTTAACAGAATGCATCATTAATTCTTTTTCAGTTTTTGTGTAACATATGCCACAATTGTGGAAAATGGAGGTATGCTTTGGGAATATAGAAGCCTGTCTTAATATAAACAAGACTGTTATATTGTGACACACCAGAGTTCCAGACAGGGAATTTCACTGCACTATCTGGAACTGGATCCATGCCATATACTCGCATCTTTCTCCAGTGCTGAAATGGAGTGGAATGGTTAACATATTGACATTATGCTGCCAATAACTTTATGATTTGCATCACTGGTGATGAGCTGTGTGTTTTGTCCACAGGGTAGAATGTCAGTAGAGCTCTACTTCTTAACTCCTCTCATCCTTCTTGGCATTAGAGACAGGATGTGGTTAGCATGTTGATCTCCAGAGTTACACCATCTTCCTGTTGCTTAGTCTTTGATACATGACAAATGATTTTCAATGGTTATGCCTGAAGTTTGCTATATTGAACATTTTTTCCAGATACAAAAGTTTGATATTTTGAACATATTTCTTCAGATATAAAAATCTACATAGGTGTTTGTTTTAGATATAAATAGCAATTTTTAAAAGTTTATTGACAGGAAGCATTATGAACACTGGTACTTTGTACAGTGACACCATATGATGAAGACAGTTTGTGTGATTCTGCCAAATTTCTTTTGTGTGGATCTTAATTGCCATTTTCCTAAACTGACATTTTTTCCCCTGCCCAGTTTAAATTTATACATTATTGATAGGGCACAAGGTCAACATCATAAGGGAAGAACAGAGGAAGATCAAGCTTTGCTCTGAATTTTCTCATCAGCACATTATTGATCAAAAACTTAATAGGAATTCTCACATTTTTATTTGTACCCCACACTTATTATTTTTACAAGTAGATCAAGGTGAAAACCTGTCTAATATACCTTCCTTCTCCTATTGTCCCCTGAACAACAAATGTGTGAGTTGAGTTGGGCTGAGAGAGAGTGACTGGCCCAAAGTCACTCAGCTGGCTTTCATAACTAAGGCAGGACTTGAATTCACAATCTCCCACTTTCTAGCCTGGTGCCTTAACTATTGGACCAGACTGGCTCTTATATAAACAATAGTTTAAGGAAAGTGCCTGCTTGTGGTCATTTTGGATGAACAAGAAAGAACAAAATAAATGGCTCCAGAACCTTTTCCTTGAGTGCAAAGTCCTTTTTGCACAGATTTCCATTTACTCATCAATGCAAATTATCATATTGCCCCACAATGCTGTTCTCTCTCTCTCTCTCTCTCTCCCATAATTTGAAGAACAGATTTTAAAAAAATGTAAATGATAGAAGTAAAGGAAAGATCTTCAAAATTTAATATTGAAAGAGAAATTTAAAATTGAATTTGCTGCAGTGGAAACTTACTGCCTGTACAAACAAGCTTACTAAAAGCTATAATGAATGGGAACCAGGAAAGGATAGCATAAAGGAAGGATATAAGAGAAACATGTAGGCAAAATTGTTATCTGGGTCTTCAGAATGGGAAAAGGAGCTGTAAGAAAAGATAACTAGCAAAACAGGAAAGAACCTATCATTCTAAGAGGTCCAGAGCTCAAAACCAACAATTGAATATGTCTAATATTTTATATTACTAATGTACATGTGATGTATGATTTAGTATGTAGCAAGAAATAGGTAGGAGTGTAACCTCATAATACCTCAGCCAATGGAGAAAGAGGAGGGATGTGGCGGTTAGGACAGGGTTGTATAAAGAAAGGAATATTTTGGATTGAAACTTTGGAGAGAACCAAGCTTTGATAGCTTCTCTCCCCGCTTATTGCAATAAACGAAACAAAAGGCCTTCAACTGTGTCTTGGCTGGTTATTGGTCAGGCAAGCTTGCCTCTGGTCACAAAGGAAAATAGCCAGGAGCACATAACATAAAGATGGTGTTGAACACCACAGTCATTTAGAGGGAAATGCTAGTAACAATATTTTGCTTTTATGAAGTAACCTATTTTAAAAAGTTGTTTAGCTTTATTTTAGAGAACTGTTTAATGCTCTTAAATAAAGGATTTTGAAATAGTTATGGGCAATATTTCTTTGGACATGTCATCTGTGAATGTCCTGCTGTGCTATTAATAGGAATGTATACATGGTACAAGAAAATATGGAATAATTATTTCTTTGGCCTGGTAAAGTCATAAAGAATTTGCAGAAGTCTTTGATGTCTAACATAGAAATTGCTGCAGAGGTTTTTTTTTCCCCCTTCTGAATGTCATGCAAACATGTTTAGATTACTTACTTATTGTGTCATAATACTTAAGGATTAAGTTAGAATGGAAACATTTCCTTTTTAATTTTTTTGACATCACTGGTCATGTGTGAAAATATAATAAAATGTATTTTGCCCTAGTTTAATCTTTCCACTTAAGTTAGTAGGACAGGGTGCAATAACTCGTTGTTTAGAATTTGGAAATGGACATAGTTATAATTCAGCAACTAGGATTACTTAAGTTAAATGATTACTTATAATAACTGAGAACTTCTGCTGCTCAAAAATAATTCAGTAATAGTGTCTCAGTGGCATAGTGTGGCACATCCAATTGTAATGGTGAAGGCATTGAAGCCTCGTCTATCCTGATCATTCCCATGTACCATTGTAGAAAACTAGTCCAGCCCATGTTTACTTTCAGATGTGAACTGGATGTCTTAAGCTTATAAAGAAGACATAAAGCTTTCTGTCTTACTAACTTGAGACTGTTTACTAAAGGGGAATTATATGGGGCTGGAATAGTATAATAACTAGTGTACATACCCAGGCATCCTTTATGTGCTACTCTGGTCTGGCATGACAAAATTTTATCTAGAGGACACTATAGTCTAGTTTAGACATGGTTCCAGATATTTGCTACTGTTTATACAGACTCAGTTTTAAGCACAGCCTGAATCATTAATACAATGTAAATCTGAGACATGAAATTCTTAGTTTCAGATAACGCTGTATAATTTGTGCAGTAACTGCTAATGGGAAACTATGTACACAAATAACCTCTAGAGTGAGGTTGTGTTGAATTTAGGTGAACTTAGACAAAGAATTCATAAAGAGACGAAACTCTTCCTGCACTGATTCATTTTGGAACACGCAGTTAAAACACAGAAACTTTGAGCTCTCCTTGCCATGCAGTTTGGCTCAGCCACTTTAAAAATCTGCTCCAGAAGTTAGCGGTCCTCTTAGAATTACATGGTACATGTTATGTCCCGAGCCTTGCAAACGGCTCGGGCGTTTGCAGGCAGTCCCAGGCAGGTGCAAGGCTGCCCGGGACCAGACAGGCTGTCACCAGCGCCGTGCGCATGCACGGGTGCTGGCGTGGGAAAAGTAACACATTTACCTGGGAGTTGCCTATATAAGAGGCTGCGAGCGTTTGGGAAGCTAAGAAGCCATCTACTTGTAAGCTGAACGCAGAATAAAGAAAACTGAGAACTCCAACTGCTTCTCGTGTCTGCTTTGCGCCAAGGACTCAACACTGGCGACGAAGGTGGGATTGCCTTACACCGCCTGGAAAGGAAGAAGTGTAAGCTTACCCAAGTGAGTCCTGAGCGGCGGAACGGCGTCGACTCGGCAGCTACCCGCCAATCCAGTGCGCATTCGGGGGTAGGCTGGCTGATAGACCCGTCTCCTGAAGATGGCGAAAATCGGAAGGCTTTCGGAGTTCGACGTCTCACATCCAGAGCGGTGGGAGTCATACGTAGCCAGGGTGGAGAACTACTTCAAGGCAAACCAAGTGAGGGAAGAGAGCTTGAAGGCTGCCACCCTGCTTTGTGTTTGCGGTCAAGACGCCTTCGACATCGCAGAAAACCTTGCAGCACCTGTTCCAGTAGAGTCTGTCAGCTACGCAGATCTGAAGAAGCTACTGAAGGAGCACTTCCACCCCAAGATGTCCGTCATCGCATGGCGCCACACCTTCGAGCAGAGGGATCAACGGCCCGGTGAGTCGGCCAAAGAATTCATCGCCGCATTACGGAAGGCCGCCAAGCACTGCGAGTTCAAAGACCTCGAAGAACGACTGAGGGACCGATTCGTGTGCGGGTTAAGGCATCGAGATCTACAACAGAGACTTTTCGCTAAAGAAGAATTGTCCTACCAAGATGCCTTAAGGGAAGTCACCGCAGAAGAAGCAGCAGGCGGCGCTGTCAAGAACATGCGGCCGATCAGAAACAGTCCAGAGGTTGCATCCGTGCACCAGGAAGACATCCAAAGAAACTCCGAGGAGGATCCGGACGAGGAAGTCGACCGTCTCCACCCCACGACGGAAGAAAAACAGAAGGGAAGCTCTTCAGCTCCGCTCAAGTGCATCGGCTGTGGAGGTCGCCACAGGAGAACCGACTGCAAGTTCCGCTCCGCTACCTGCCGGGCATGCGGCAAACAAGGACACATTGCAGCTGTGTGTCTGGGCCGACGAAAGGTACAACCTCAGGAAGAACTGCGCCTGAAAGGTACCAGATTCCCCAGCCAGAATAGGGTAGGGTTTTGCGCTTCGCGAAGAAGCATCCTTAGGACAGGCACACACAAGCCCATTAAGAAAAAGCTGTCACTCAAGGTGAAGCTACAAGGGGTTCCATTATCTATGGAACTAGACACAGGGTCTGCCTTTTCAATTATCTCCTTGCATACATTTAGGAAGATTTGTTCCGATAGTGGAACTCAGGCCAAGTTAAGGCCTTCTGACATTGTGTTAACAGATTTTCAAAATTCAAGAGTGTGTGTTAAGGGGGAGGCCACCCTTAACGTGCAATACAAGAGTTTTGAAGGTCCACTAGACGTATTAGTAGTAGGGGTGAACGAACGAGTCTCATAGGACTCGATTGGTTTGAGGCCCTGGGGATACACGTCACAGGACTCAACAGTTTACAAACACTCGACCTACAGGAAGTCTGCAAAGAATTTGCAGATGTTTTCAGCCCCCAGCTGGGCACATTCAAAGGACCCCCTGTGTCCTTAAAGCTAGACCCCACTGTCACTCCCATTAGAATTAAAGCAAGAAGGGTCCCTTTTGCTTTAAAGAGTAAAATTGACACTGAGTTAGACAAACTGATTCAACAGGGAATCCTAGAACCTGTTGATTCCAGTCCTTGGGAGACCCCCATTGTCACGCCTCTAAAGGCAAATGGGGACATTCGCATTTGTGCTGACTACAAATGCACTCTGAATAAGGCATTGCAGCAACATGCCTATCCTGTTCCTGTGGTCAGTCATATTCTGGCCTCCCTCAAGGGGGGGCGCGTTTTTGCAAAGCTTGACCTAGCTCAAGCGTATCAACAGCTGCCTGTTGATGACGATGCTGCTATAGCTCAGACTATTGTGACCCACAGGGGAGCCTTTAAGGTAAAAAGGCTACAGTTTGGAGTGAATGTCGCTCCTGGGATTTTCCAAAGCGTAATGGAAAACACACTACGGGGCATACCGGGGGTTTGCCCCTACTTTGATGATGTCTTAATTGCAGGAGACTCCACACACATTCTAGCTGAAAGGCTAAGGGCTGTTCTGTTAAGGTTCAGGAAAACAGGCCTCAGGCTCAAAAAAGACAAATGCAAAATTGGGGTGCCTTCTACTGAATTTCTGGGATTCAAAATTGATGCTGCTGGAATTCACCCTGCTGAATCCAAACTAACTGCCATTTTAGAAGCACCTAGGCCAAAGTCCAAGGCCGAACTTCAGGCCTTCCTGGGTCTCCTGAATTTCTACAATTCTTTTCTTCCACATAAAGCTAGTGTAGCTGAGCCTCTTCACAGGCTACTAGACAAGCAAGCAGTGTGGCGGTGGTCACAGACGCATGAGGCCTGCTTTAACGAAGTCAAGGCCTTGCTCACTTCTAACAGTGTACTTGCACATTTCAACGAGTCTCTTCCTGTGTGCATCGCTGTGATGCGTCCCCTTACGGGGTTGGAGCTGTCCTGAGCCACCTCAGGTCTGATGGAACTCAGGTTCCTGTTGCATATTATTCAAGAACATTGTCTTCTGCCGAGCGCAACTACGCTCAGATAGACAGGGAGGCTCTGGCTGTTGTTGCGGGAATTAAAAAATTCCATGATTTTCTATATGGCAGGCATTTCACGGTCTTCACTGACCATAAGCCTCTGCTGGGACTGTTTACCACACGTAAGCAGACTCCCCAAATCATTTCCCCTAGAATGCTTAGGTGGTCTATTTTTTTGTCTCCATATGATTTTTCTTTACTCCACAAGCCTGGGAAAGAAATGGGCCATGCTGATGGCCTCAGTAGATTGCCTCTGCCAGTAGTAGAAGCTGACCCTGCGCCAGCTGTCAACATTCTATCAATCCAAGCCTTGCCCGAGCTCCCTCTTAGTGCCAGGGATGTTGCCGCTGAAACAGGTACAGATCACACACTTTCACGTGTCCGTTCCTGGGTTTTGTCTGGTTGGCCTGAGCACTGCCCTAGTCCTGAGTTTCAGAGTTTCTGGTTCAAAAGGAATGAGCTGTCCCTTTCTCAGGGTTGTTTGCTTTGGGGAAACAGAGTTGTCATTCCCTCCTCAATGAGGACTAGGGTCTTGGAATCCCTCCATGAGGGTCATCCTGGCATTGTTCGTATGAAGGCTCTTGCTCGCAGCCACTTATGGTGGCCTGGTTTAGATAAAAATATTGAGGCTAAGGTGCATGCATGCCACCTGTGCCAATGATCTCGCCCAGAGATGCCCCAAGCTCCCGTGCACAGATGGGAGGAAACACAGTCCCCATGGTCTAGGGTGCACATTGACTACGCTGGGCCCTTTCAGGGCCAGTTCTTCTTGGTCCTTGTTGACAGCCACTCGAAATGGCTTGAGGTTGTACCTGTCTCATCC